ACGAAGGCCTCAGTAAACGCCAGAGCGCACTCCTGGTCCAGATGCGCACGGAAAAGATCGGGCTCCAGGACTTCCTCTTCAACCGAAGAGTACCGGGCATCACCAACGCCAACTGCCCATGCCGGGAAGGACGGCAAACGGTATCGCATATCCTGCTGCGATGCCGCAGGTTTCGACAACTCCGGCGCCAGGAATTCGGGACCCTCCCAGGACGACACAATCTCCGGGTCATACTGAACAAGCGCAAAGTAGCCGCCAAGGCAATCCGATTCATGGAACAGACCGAGATCCTTGGGCAACACGGGATCGAGTCGCACACCAGACCAAGCTGAACATTGGGGGGAGACTGTAGGTACGCTGAACCGTTGTACGAGGAGAAAGACCTCAATAGAGCCTAGATATGCATGTACATTAGTAGAGAACCGCGAACTACACGAGGTGCCAGCCAAGGGTAGTTGAGGTTGGAGAGCAAAGTGGGAGATTTGGAGACAGCTGGTCGGTGTTTTGCACTGGCGAAGTGGGGCGCTACGGATTAACGTCCGGAGCGCGTCGGCTGTTGGCCAAACCCCGCTATCCGGGCATAGCTGCTGACTAAAGCGGCCAAAACCGAGTAGGAATCAATCAAATCAAATCGATTGTACGATTGGTCGTTGGCAGAGCTTCACTCGCCTCCTTGAGGCCATTTCCTGCAGATATGATTTCGCTCGAGAAGCGATAAGCGACTCATAATCGTGGGCCTTGCGAACATGCATTGGCCGCGTTGATGTTCTGATTGGTTAGTGTCAATCAACCTCGCCCGTTCATGAGGAAGGGTTGCACCGTAGGAGCTATATCGCCGCTTTCTTTTCACCCTCAGCCCCTTGGTTCCTGCAGGTCTCGCCATAATGCAGGTATGATGCATGGCCAGATGTCGGATTCAAACTGGTCTGCCTACATGCAGGTCGTCAACATCCGCTCCCTCGGTGTGTTGCTCTAGTTGTGACGACATGACCCGCCTCGGATTTCAAACAACAAAAGCAATTTTCAGTCCCTACGGATCGCCTTCTATATAGCGAGCTGCCCATTTGATCTGGTTGGGAGAGTTCAATGTGTTCACTTGATATTCTCCACAAGACGCGGAAAAAGCCCATATCATTTCTCACAGTACTTTGACATCGTCCTAATTATCAATGGCTTTCACGCAGCAATCAGTACCGCTTGAACCCTGGGGATACTATCACCCGCAGCCTGCTATCAATGGATACGTTGTGATGAGCCATCCTAGCCCTGTGCAGCGCCAGTTGTGTCCAGCCATGTCAGGTCCCGTGGACAGATCCACCATGGGTCTTCCATACCCGAGTGCACCGCCATTACACACATTGCCAACGCCGGCGACAAGGCACGAATGGCCGACGCACAGCAATATGGCCTACACACATCGCAAGATGCCTTTCCGAGACTCAGCACATTGGGAGCGGCCCGTCGTGCCCTTGGTCACACCAGAGCACAAGGAACGTCATTCTGCCAATCTTTGCGATGGCGTATCCGGTAGAGACGGCCGACAACGTAGTCCCTCAATTAGTGCTAAACTAGAGAAAGGGAACTTCAAGACGCCTGATCCGCCCAACACAAAGGACATCAAGTTCAACAAGCCAACGGGCGCTGTAGTCGTGGATTTCAGAACCTCTGTTGACACCCTCATGAAGGCCATACAGAAGAGACCTATCTCTTACGCAAGTAACAAAGGTGCTCTAGAGAACGATCAGGTCAAGGCAGAGCCTGAATCGCCCAATGTGAGTGTTGGCATAGACACAAGAAAGATTTCGCTCATTCATTTCTAGCTCGAGGCCGGTCATAGGGCTTCCCCTCCTACATCCTCGTCGATACCCGCGGAGGTTGTGAATACCCCCAAGACAAAGAAATTCATTTGCGACATCGATAGCTGTGGCAAATCCTTCTGTCAGAGGACTCACCTTGACACCCACAAGCGTGCGCACACTGGGGAGAAGCCATACGTAAGCGTTGATGAGATGGCGGTGATCTGGGAGATACTGAAATCTCTCAGAAATGTCCTTGGCTTCCATGTGAATCGAGTTTCTCTCAGTCAGGCAATCTGAAGGTAAGACAACCCCCTCCGCTTGCTCCACACACGACTGACAAAGTCATAGACTCACATGCGCCGTCATACTGGTGAGAAGCCATTCCAATGCAAGCAGTGCCCAAAATCGTTTGCGCAGCTCGGCAACCTCCACTCACACATGGCAACACATACTGGCGGGAAGCCGTTCGTCTGCAAGTTGGATCAGTGCAACAAGGGGTTCGCCCAGAGAGGAAACCTCAAGGTAAGTGGTTCAGGTGTTTGCAGACTACTCGGCTAACATGTTGCGTCCCAGATCCATCAGAACAAATACCACGAGAAGGCTGTTATGGAGCTGGCCGACTTGATGATCTCCACTCCCGACGTTGAAGGTCTGAACGATGACCAACGCGAGATGTGCCGTTACTTCGCGGGCATATTCAAGAACAGTAACAAGGGGATCAAGGGTCGCGGTAAGGGCCGGAGAGTGTCGACGAGTGCTGGGATGGCAAAGACAACATCGACCCATCGACCAATCGAGAACTTTTCCACCTATGTCAGCCTGGCAGCATACAGCTCGAAGAGGATCTCCTCAACACAGCAGTAGCAGCAGTGCCGCCATCCACGGAGCTACTTTGATAACGACGACGAGAAAATGGCCCTGTCCCCGAATAAAAGCAGCGATGAGCACAATGTGGCTTTCGTGAGCCATGACGGCATGTGTTGGCAGTCATCTCACGCGATGTACGGACAACGGGCATGATTTCTTGTGTCGATCGGCTGCGAAGACTGTCTGACCGTGTTGTGTCATAACAGCTGGCACATGCCTTGATCGTCTGGATCGGATCGCGGGATGACAAGGCACGGGTGCGAGGATGCAACCAGCAAGAAGGTGTTGGCCGAATTCCTTCAGACAGAGTACCTTACATAGCAGATAGTTTTTCCAGCATTCAATGTACCCTATGCCGACTTGAGAGTCTTTGCCCTGCAACCAACTGAGCCGAAGGTGAACTGCGTTAGTAGCGCCAGTCCCTGTATGGCCTGGCCTGGCAATGGAAAGCAACTCCTCTTCAGTGATGTGACCACAGCCCCAAGGACGCAGAGTAGCTCACGTTTATTGACATTACGTATGAAATGCACCTCCAGCCCCATTCAACCCCCGCATCGATAGCCGGGTGTTCCCTGCGGTGCTGTCGAGCGAGTTGGAAAGTACTACATAGAGCAACATCCATCGTCCTTGGCGCGCGTCTCGCCGCCGCTTGGTGGCCGAAAATCTTGGTTGAATGATGTTGGCTAAGGTGGCCGATCGTCGTGTCGGATATTGTGCCCTATGCAGCTCACTGTCTGCGGGCTGGAGTCCGGTCTGAGACCCTGGAGGGCTGATTACTTCCAAGGTTTATGCAAGGGCCACCAACGCTGTCACTAGCCAGCCCCAAAAGTCCGTGCCTCGGGTACGGATGGTCGTAGCTCGAACGGGTTGTGGACACCAGGCGGTTCCCTCACGCCCCTGTTGAGCAGCACCCGGTGGCGTCGTTCGAGCCAGAGGTACCGCGCCGTTTTGCTGCGCTGAACTTGCGGCCACCCCCAGGGCCCCACCGAGCTCTTTACCGCTAGGGACACCAGACGGTACAAGCCGCAACGTCCGGGCCTCGATCACAGGGGGCAGACGGACGAGTCAGCGCACTGTCGTCCACTAACCAGATCAGGATGTCGTTCGCGGGCCAATCACATCTGCCGCA